AAAAAAAAAAAAAAAAAAAAAATACTAGTCACTTTTTTCAGTAAAAATTGTAATTGTTTTGCTTCCAGGGTGGCTTATGGTGTTTTGGAGGTAATGGGCTTCCTTATGCTGAAAGTTTCGGAGAAGTCCCTTCAGCTACAGTGGAAATGTTCTGTTTAGAAGCTATTGTAAAGCATTCAGAGGTAACTTAACATTTTCCAAATGTGATTTACTTTTCCTGATTATGTTGAAGAAATTATACAGGTTGGTTTATGCAAGGAAATCATTTATTATAAAAGGAAGAAAAGGCTTTCACTTGTTTTAAAATTTCTGCTTTTTCCCCATTTTAATTGTCAGAATTAATCATGATTTAATCAACACCAATATATGAGTTTAATTTTTCCAAATATTTCTAAAAATGTGTTTAATCTTAATTGCATAGAAAGAAAGCAATCTGTCATCTAACTATGGCATTCACCTTTGAGTCTTGCTGTCTCTGCTGCCTTTCTCAGATTACGATCGTGCATAATGTTTTCATGTAAATAATTTCCATTAAAACAGCTGCCAAAGGTGTGACAAGATTAAAAAACCAAGGAAATGGTAGATGACCATATGCTTGAATTACAACTCTAGCATATGTTAATGATTTTTTAAATTTTTGGTATTGTGGAAACTTTTCTATCATGATAACAGTTTAACTTAAAAAAGAGAAAAGAAACAGACCTTGTGGTGCTCAGACATAGTGCAGAAACATTGCCCAGGGATGCGTTTAGAAATGTGTGTTTCCTGATGCCTTTAGCAATTTTAATCTAGTAGATTTGATATGGAGTCTAGGAATTTGCATTTGCAGCCAGCATCCCTGGTAAGGTTAATGCAAGTGGTCCATCCCATAGCAGGAGAAATACCACCCTAGAGGTTTTGAACTCTCCTAAAAGCAAGGGGCCATCTAGTCACCTTTAATTCCCACGGGGAGGACTGGGCACTAAGCACAAAGGAGGAAGTGAATGAAGTGTTATAGTACAGAAGGGAACGCGGGGAAAACCATCTTCTGAGTATTTTCTGAAGCAATAGATGCAGCTTCAGTAGAAAGTACAGTGTATGGAGTATAATATTAAAGTTACCTTTCCAGAAATCTCTCAAGTTATTATAGATCTCTTGCAATATGCTGTATGTCTAAAAGGCATTCATTTTATTGCACTAAAACTGTGATATAATAAAAATTTGGAAAATGAAAATTGTCATGTATGAGGTTGGACAGTAAAGTTTGCAAACTTATCCTAGAGACAGTGCTGCATACCTCGTTGCTGAATATCACTGTGGTCACCAGATGACCAAGGGGAGGACTTTGAATGTGACCATGGAGATATTCAGCAGTCAGGTATATAGCACTTTTTCTAGGATGAATTTGTGATTTTAATTGTCAGAGGTACTTACTGATGGCCAGTCCAAAAAGAGTTCCGAAATGCTTTGAAGGGTGGACTAGGTGCTGGCATCAGGGCATAGCTGCCCAAGGGGAGTACTTGGAAGGTGGCCATAGTGATATTCAGCAAGGAGATATGTAGCACTTTTTCTAGGATGAGTTCATAAAGTTAATCATCTGACCTCAAATGCTTAACTTGGTGTCATGTCAGTGAATAAAACTAGTGATAGGAAGAGGCAAGGCTGGTGACATCAGGAAGACTGACTTGTTAGTTCTCTTACCTTACCTTAATATATGCATTTCCTTTGTTTTTATTCCTTTGTCTCTTTTCTCCATTACAAATTCAAATCCCTTTGTTGCTTAATCTTTCTGTTTAAAACTTTTTTTGAACTCCTGAGTTTGAGGCCAGCCCGTAGCTGTTGGCATTGTGTTGGGTAGCTCATAAGGCCATGAGGTGGCTTGTATGTACCTGAGTCCTTGTTTGCTGAAGCAGAATCTGCCTGCTCTCACAGAGGACTATTTTCTGTTATCAGGTGGCAGATTTCTCAAGATTAGGGAACCATTATAAGGTAGCTCCAATTATAAATTGAAAAAAAATTCTAATAATGACATTATCAGGTAACATCCAACCAAAAGCTCAGTAGAATAAGAGTAACAGTTTTAGACGTCTTGGTAAGAAATGCCTTTGGGGACTTTTTTCAGTAATTTTGAAGCACTTCCCTCTGAGATAGGGATTGCTTCTTTATTTTAGTAAGCTGAGATGAGAGTTTGGAGTAGTTTCCCACATCTGTGTCCTTGAGCAGGAGGTCCCTGGCTGTCCCCATCGAAGTGCTGTGTCATTTCTTGTAGTGAGTTTATGCAGTATAAAGTGAGCTTTCCTTCATTTATTGTGCTAGATATCCACACATTGTGACAAAATCGAAGCAAATGGAGGCTTACAACTACTTCAGAGGCTGTACCAGTTTCACAAGGACTGCCCTAAAATACAGAGAAATATAATGCGTATCGTTGGAAATATGGCTTTGAATGAACATCTTCATTCCCCTATACACCGCTCAGGTAACAACTTTATATGCTTAGTATTTTTATTCAGTTCATTATTCTCTCTCCCATATACATAAATTTTTCAGTGGACTTAAGATTCTACGTAGGGTTAGTTATGGGTCCTTAGAACATATTACTGCATACTCTGGTGGGGCAAGGAATTGTTTGAGATATGGATAATCTATATTTAAGACAGTCACTGTGTAGATGATCACAGGAGAGCAGATTTTGCCCTGATGACCAACTAATTGTGTAATTTTTGATGTGATTGGTTATCCAAGTGGCATAGTCAGACTAGAAAGAGGCTCCCTCCCTTACTCTCTTCTTTCCCTCTCACTTTCCCTCCCCTTCCATCAGTATTGGTATATGAATTCCTATGTTTAATGCTTTATAATTTATTGTTGTACTTAATAATTTGATGCCAGATTATCCAGCTTTGGCTCGTTGGAGCCCCAACAAAATGGCCTATGTCCTTGTGATATGCCCACTTCATTGGGGTGGGGGCATTCTTACTTTCTGGTATAACAAGATATTTCAGGCTCATTTCTCTGAGTGATGCTGATCTCTTTTAGTGGAGAACGGTGATTAGAGACTGAGATCTAGGTGGTAGATTGTTCCTGGGGTATCTTTGCTTCTTGGCTCTTTCAGTAGAATGGGCATTCTTAGTTCATTTTCACATGGCTGAAGGGCAGGCAAATCTTCACCTATTGACACTGCATGAAGCCTCTTTTAATTTTTCAATTATTTTATTTAAAATTTTTAAGTTAAAAATTTTTATAGATTATGTAATAACTTCATATTTATAGGGTAAATACGATAATTTGATGCAAGCATATACTGTATAATGATCAAATCAGGGTAACTGGGACAGCCATCACCTCAAACATGAAGCCTGTTTTATTTTTGTTTTTTAATGAAACAGAATCATGCTTTGTTGCCACTTAAGGCAGTGGCATCGTCATACCTTACTGCAACCTCAAACTCCTAGGCTTAACGGATCCTCCTGCCTCAGTCTGACATTCAGGTGTGTGCCACCTTGCATGGCTAATTTTTTTATATTTAATAGAGACGGATCTTGCTCTTGATCAAGCTAGTCTTCAATGCCTTGGCCTCAGCGAGCTTCTCACCTTGGCCTCCCAAAGTGTTAGGATTACAAGAATGAGCCATGGCACCAGCCATGAGGCCAGCTTTATAAGGCCTTAATCCTATTGAAGGTGGAGGAGCCCTCATGGCCTAATTACCTCGTAAAGGCCCACCTCTTAATATTGTCACATTGGTAACACCTGAATTTTGGAGGGGACACATCCAAACCATAACAGCACTCAAGTAACATTTAAAAAATATAGAAAGAAAAAAATCTTCATTTACTTATATATCTATTTACTTATTTAAAATTTTTTTACTTATTTATTTTTATATATATATTTATTATTTTTTATGTACTTATTTACTCATTCATTCATCAATAAATGACAGGGTCTTACTCTACCAGGCTGCAGTACAGTGGCATCATCATAGCTCACTGCAACCTCAAACCCTCAAGGTTAAGTGATCTTCCCAGCTGAGCCTCTCAAGTAGCTAAGAGCATAGGCTGGCACCACCATGCCTGGCTAACTTTTCTGTTTTTTTTATAGAAACAGGGTCAGGCTGGTCTCCAGCTCCTGGCTGCAAGTGATCCTCCCAGCTTGGCCTCCCCAAGTTCTAGGATTACAAGTGTGAGCCACCACCCCCGGCCTCATATTTATTTATAATCTCTAGTGTTTTTCCTTTTCCCCATATATATGAATTTATATCTGATACCATTTCCCTCCAGCTTAAAGACTTTCCTCTAGTATTTGTTGTATGTTGGGTCTGCTGGCAATAAATTCTCTTGCCTTTCATTTCTGAAAACATCTTTATTTTGCCTGTATTTTTTATTCAGGAAAAGATATTTTCCCTGGAAAAAGAATTCTTTGTTCACAGTGAATTATTTTTTTCTGTCAAGACTTTAAAAAAATACCATCCCAGTCTCTCCTGGTGTCCAGTGTCTGATGAAAAGTCCCTTCTTAGTCCCACTTTGGTTCTGCTATGTGTAATGTGTCTTTTCTCTGGCTTCTCTTAAGATCTTTTTATTTAATTTTCAGCAGGTTGGCTCTGAAGTGCCCAAATGTTGTTTTTATACTTATCCTGCTTGGAGCCCACTGAGCTGATGAATTTTGAAAAATTTCCTGCCTGCATATCTTTGAGTAGTTATTCTTTTTGTCCTTTGACCTCTTCTTGATTCTTTCCTACAGGTCATTGAAGCTGTTCATTTTGTTCATTTTTTTTCCCTCTGTACTTTACTTTGGATGATTTCTATTGACTTCAGGTTCATTGATGAGATGGAGACTAAAGGAGTCAAAGCAGGACAACGATCTGATCAAATCAGTACCTTATTAAAGAAAAAAAAATCACTATTTTTTAGTCCTCAGTCTTTTTGGTTGACTCGAACATCTACCTCCTGGACAGCCCACTAACCACCCTGGCCTCTCAATCCCAGGACCTCATCTCCACTGACTTCCGTCTGGGTCCTGAGTCACCTCGTACTCCACTCCCACATCATTACCCGAAACCACTTTGCCTAAAAAGTCAGTAATTCAGCTCTCTGGGCACACACTCTTCTCATTCATGCGTGTTTATGTCTGCTCAATAAGGACTGGTTTTCGTCTCTCCTGAACTTGTCTATCCGTTGACCCTTTTATTCTCTTGCAGTCCATCGGGCCTTTCTGTTCTTCATGCCCCTCCTGACGCAGCTTGTTTCCATGGTCCATCATTCAGTAACATTCTTGCCAGTACCTACACCTCCCCTTCCCTTCTGTCCTTTCCAGAGCCCTCAATCCTAGATGGAATCTACTCTCTGCTTTTTCTGTGGCTGAGCATAGAATTGAGCGTAGAATTAGTAGGTCTGAGCACGGAACAATCACAGATTGGTTGTCACTGTGCTTTTGACATTAGCAAACTAAAGGACCCAAATGAAAGGAGTATTGCTCAGCGGTCACTTTTCTTCAGTCAGCTCGCCTTAACATTCTTAGCAGTGACTGTGGGTGACTGTATAAAACCATCTCCATCTTACTCAAACCTTCCACATACTCCTTTTTCTCAGAAGATGACCTCTACTTTACTGAGGTGATTAAAGCCTTAAAAGGAATTTTTCCTTAATTTCCCCCTACCAAACAGATAAGCAAATTCTGTTCTTTTCCTGTTCTCTTCTTGATAATAGGAAAGAGACGCTCTTTTAGAAAGCCTCAGCCATGCTCAGGTGCTGTCTCTTCACCAGCTCAGGAATTGCCACTCTCTGGTATTTCTGATGAGTTGCTCCCTCTCAGCTGGACCTTCTGATCAACACACATTAGAGGGAGATGCGAAAAACATAAACCAAGTCTTAACTCCACACCTCCCTAACATCACTCTCTCTTTCTTCCCTTTTATAGCTAAGCTTTTAAAAGAGTTATCTGTACTTTTTTTGCTCAGCTGCCCACACTCCATTTTGAGTTCTGCTACCTGTCCTATTTTATTATTTTTCTTAGGCATCTATATCTTCACCTCTTTTTATAGATTTTGTGTTAATCTTAACACTATCAGATCTATATATTTTTGCCTTCTGATTTACAAAAATTAAAAAACTTAATATATATCATGGTGAAGGGGTATGAAAATTGGCCCACTCATACACTATTGGTGGGAATGTAAGTTGATGCTGTTTTTTTTTTTGTTGGTGGTGGTAGTGGTGGTGGGACTTAGAATTGCCTATAAAAAAAATGTGTGGCATTTGACCTAGTAGTAATATTTTTAGGAACCTCTGCTACCTAAACATTCAAGGGTGTTATTTTTTTTTTAATTTTTTTTTTTGGGACAGCATCTCACTATGTCTCCCTCGGCTATTTTTTGATTGCAGTTGTCATTCATGCCAGGCTCGAACCCACCACCTTTGGTGTATGTGGCTAGTGCCCTACTCACTGAACTGTGGGTGCTGAGCCATTCAAGGGTATTCTTAAAGTATAGTTTATACTGCTACAAAATTGGAAACAAATGTCTACCAGTAGGAATAATGATTATATCGATAATGGCGTATTCATACTGTGTAACAGTGTAGTTGTTACTGTGTAACTGTGTAACTACCCTGGTGTAGTTAGAGTGAAGTTGATTTACTGTGTATATAGAGTGTACTCCAAGACATATTGCTGAAGTACAAAATCAAGACACAGAACGGTAGGGATGGTATGATTCCATTTAGGTAAAAATTATGCATGTAGAGCTATACTGTATATGTATAAACTGCATTTTTCAAAATTCTAACTTTGGTTATTGTGAAGATATACATGGATGTGGGAAATGATGGGAATGCTAACGCAAGACGTTTCATCATTAAATGCTGCTCTTACTTATTTATTATAATTAACATGTAGAGATGCGCATCAGTAAACAGTGGAGATACATTCTGAGCCATGGTCGTTTAGGCAGTTTTGCCTTTGTGTGAACATCATGGCATATACTTACAGAAATCTAAATGGTACAGCCTCCTATGCACAGAGGCCACTTGGTACAGCCCAGTGCTCCTGGGCTGCACACCTGGACAGCATGTCACTGTATCCAGCACTGTAGGCAGTTATAACACAACAGTAAGTATTTGTATATCTAAATATATCTAACCATAGAAAAGGTACAGTCAAAACATGGTACTGTAATCTTTTTTTTTTTTGAGACAGAGCCTCAAGCTGTCCCCCTGGGTAGAGTGCCGTGGCATTACAGCTCACGGCAACCTCCAACTCCTGGGCTCAAGCGA